CATATCCGACTAGAGCACTTTTGTTTGTTTGTTTTTCAATATCTCTCGACCAAAGCAAAAAGAAACGTTATTCGGCTCCTGTTCAAAATCTCAACAATATAGAAGTTCTTTAACATACATATATGAAGCTCATAGAAATATTGAGATATTTTATGAAAGCTTCATTCTATAATATATGTCTGTTAGGGTATTTGAGCTTCGGTGGATCGTAGCTAATTTATGTAAATATCAATTTATTGGTTAAACTCATCTTCAATCTGAACTAAACCATATTTTTTAAGGCTTCTTTTCTATTATTCAGTTATTTGGCCAAAAATCGAGCAGCAGCTTTGGCTATAACATGATAGTTAGGGTATATATACAGCCCACACGATTATCTCTACTAATATACACTCATTAGATTCCAAGTCACATCATATAATATCTATTTATATCATTTAAGCGCATATTCCACTTTCCTGCCTCTATTTACGTTTATAATTAAGAAGTCAATCCCTTTTAAGGCCTCAAACTCAGCCTCATAATGTCAGCGGCAGCCATTTAACACACACACACACACACACACACGCAGACAATTAGCTCAAAGTCAAAGGGCGAAAAAATCAAAATTGAAAACCCCATGCGCCCCATAACGAACCCTTAACTCGAACCCCCCCCCGAAAAACTTGGCTGCGCTCAGCCTTTGCTCTGGCAGCCGGCAGACAATGCAAGGCAGACGCTAAGTAGACGAAAAGTTTCTAGTTGGATTATATTTAGGGGGAAGGGGGAGTGGGGGAGGGGGGGGGGGAGGTGGCGAAGACACACACACACAGCAGCACACTCCCTCACACACACACACACACAGGCAGACACACTTGCTGCAAAATTCGTTTTATTACTTTGATATATTAGATTTAATGGTTAAGAAAAATGTTGCCAGCAGCAGCTCCCATGCACACACACACACACACAGACACACACACACACACACAGACACAGACACACACATACTTGCAATCTGAGCTATTGTCGTCGCGGGTGTTGTGGGTCGTCGTCGTCGCAGTTAACCTTATTAAAAGGTGAACACAGCCAACGCACCAGAGAGAATTGCCACAATGTGTTTACACGCAGCTCAAGGGGAGGGGCAGGGGCAGGGGCAGGGGCAGGGGGAGATGGTGGGCTGGGGTTTTTGCGCAACACGATAATGACCTCGTTGCGGGCAAATGTGTGCGTGTGCGTGTGTGTGAGCTGCTCGCATGGGCCAATCAGATTTGAGCTGCGCTGCGCATGTCCCTTGAGCGAGAGTTGGACTCTCTGAAAGGGTGGCTATTAGAGAGGGGCGGGGGGGGGGGGGGGTGTTCATTCACATTGATGTGCTAATTTAGAAATTACATTGAAGTGCAGGCCTCAATGAGTTTGAGTTTGACTTTGATTCAATTTGTCATTTCACACTTGCGTTAAATGGCTTTCGAGGTTGCCATGGAGTGGCGCCCCACTGAAGTGGCCCAGACAATTGACTTGGAGCCACACGCGCAAATAACTGCAGCTGGATGCAGATGCAGTTTGAGGAGGTCTGAGCCAACTGGAGCAGCATTTCAACTGGCAAGGAAACAAAACTCAAAGATTGCAATCGATTTTTGGTAAGAGTTTATTTGAAAAACTTCTCTTGTTTTTATTTCATAATTTTTAGAATATTTAATAACCATAAATTAAAGAAACACATACATATATATTTGAAAATTGCGTACTTTGAACTGGCGACCTCTAGTTTGCTAGTTCAACGCTCAGTCGATTTTGTTGTGGCTGTCTTTCATTTAATCTCTGACCAAACTAATCAATAATTAAATAAATATGAATAAATGAAATTGCGAGATTTGAACTAGCGACTTCTCGCTTGCTGGTTCGACGCTCAGACGTTTTGACAAAAAATAATAATAAATTAAATATACAAATGAATATATGCTTAAATATTAAAATTTAACATTTCGCGATTTGAACTGGCGACCACTCGCTAGCTAGTTCGACGCTCAGATATTCTTGTTGTACATGTTTTACAAGCAAGTTTTGAATAGTAATTAAATAAACAAGTGAACTAACATATAATTAAGTATAATAACAGATAATTGCGGAATTTGAACCAGCGACTTCTCGCCTGCTGGTTCAACGCACAGAAACTTTTGTTTTGAATGTTTTTTATACAACTTTCGATCAATATTTCCAGGTGCATCGCAGTCACCTACAGTCCTACGAGCCTCTGCTTGATTCTTCAAGATTTTGGAGTCCCATCTTGGAGACGGCATCTCGAGATATCAACATTTACAAGGCAGGTCTGCAATTAGCAGGCAAAATTGATCAGTTCATGTTTGGATTGGGCTAATGAGCCGCTGATTCGATGCCGGATAAGGGATAATGGACAATGGGTATAGGGCAGAGAGAGAGAGAGAGTGCGCTAAGTGCGCTGATGATGCTGCACAAATCGCGACTAGATCAAAGATTAGCAACGCTTTGGGCCAGGTAGGGGCTCGCAGGGTTCAGGCTCAGCTCTATATTAAACGAATGTGCAATCGGATTTCTGAATGAAATCTGCGCCGTGTTCGCGTCCTATGAAAATATGATTAAGCGCCTTTGGTTTATGCTAATCAGTCAGGCCTGGCCAGGCCAGGCCAGGCCAGCCTAAGCCAGTGTCCTGCCGCGTCCTGCCGCGTCCTGCCGCGCTTGTCTGTGTGAAGTGTGGCGTCACACATCTGGCACCTTAATGAGTTTGGTCAACTGCGCTTCGAGTACTTGTTCACAGTTCTTGGGAAACTACGCGGCCAGCGAGGTGCCGCATTGTCCTTCTCTTTGTCGTCCTTTGGCTTCGGGCTTTGTTTTGGCCACAGAAGCCGCAGCCAAAGGAATTGTGTAAGTTTTCGACAAATTAAGCAGCCGGCGTTCCACGTACACAAATGCCGCATTGTCCGCATCACTTTCTGGAATGCCTGAACTGACCTGAGTGCTAATATGCCACTTTGGCTGCTGCTCCTTTTGTTGTTATGCAACCTGCGTTGTCATTGCATAAGGCAGACACTAGGCAGACTAAGCCCGGCTCAATCAAATCCAGCTAGGCTCGAGTCCGAGGCGAGTACGAGGCTGACGAGTGCTTTGAAAATGCGTTAAGTTCCTGCTGCTTTCAAGTTTTTTATTAGCATATTAGTCTAGCTGTGCAGATGATATGAAAATGGAGCACTCTCTCATTTAATATAGAATCGAATCTGTAGATATTATAGTATAGTTTATAGGTAAGCATTAGGCAAAGGAGAACAAATCAAATCCGAAGCAAATCCTGCAATTTTCACTTAATAATAATAATGATAATGGTGATAATATTAATATTGATAATAATATTAATAATAATAATATTATTTTCATTACATATTTGACTTAATAATTTTTTTATTTAAAGGAATTAAAAGGATTATGGCATAGTTTATAAGTAAATATTATCCAAAGAAAATCAAATCAAATCCAAAGAAAATTCTGCATATTTCATTTAATATTATTATTATTATAATTATTATTATTATTAGTATATTATTATTATTATCATTATTATTATCATTATTATTATTATTAGTATACATTTAATTATTATTAATAATAATATATAAAATAATATTTATTAATAAAAATAGTATTATTTATGATTCTTAATATATTGAAATAAATTTCAGCTAGTCAGAATATTATTATTATTATTATTATTGGTATTCATTGTTCTTAATAATAATTATTACTGAAAATATTTTTCATTAATAATTTTCTTTAAGTTATCTTTAAACTATTCAAAAAAAAACAATTTCATTTTCTCTTTAGAGTCAGCTGAAAATACTTAAATAAAATGTAGAACAATTAATTCCAAATAATAATAAATAATATTTTCGCTTATTTTTGTATATATAATTAATTTTTATTGCCACATAAAATGCATGTAAATGCGCTCCTTGGATTAGATTATTAATCTATTATATAAGTATTTCGCTGAGATTTCGATGTACCTAATTTTGGAAACCCTTCAGAGAGCTGTTTATTCAATGAAACCCTTTTGCGAAGAGCTGCCCCTAAGTAAGGGGATTCGTCCATTGAGCATTTGGGTTGTTCAATGAAAACGCGCGCGGCTCAGCGCGCTTAACCCGAGCAGAGGGATCAAAAAAAAAAATAGCTGGACACAAGGTGCACAATTTACGACTTGCGGACGGGGAAGGTGAAACGGGGCATAAAAAAGCGGAAATCATAAATGCGCTACAAATGGCCGCCTAGCTTCAGGTAGGAACTAACCTGTTTTGTGATTTGTTGATGCGTGTTGAGGGAGGGAGAGCGAGAGAGAAAGAGAGGGAGAGAGAGAGGGAGAGGAAGAGTGAGAGCGACTAACAAATAGAGCTCGGTTTTAATGAGCGAAATTTATGAAATAAATAAAATTAATCAGCAAACATAGTTGCAGAGCTAACTGGCAAAGAAATTGATTAAAAGAGAGCGAGAGAGAGGGTGAGTGAGAGAGAGGGTGAGTGAGAGTGTGAGTGAGAGTGTGTGGTTGAGGCAGAGCGCAGCGAGAGAGCGAGAGAGCCGCCCCTAGATTACCTGTGCACACAAACAACCCTGCGCAAGCGAGACGGCTGCAGACTTGCAGCCAGGATATACGGGCAGGATAACAGCAGCGGCAGTCTGCCTCGCCCATTTCACTTGCCGCCGCCCTCCCCCCACCCTCACCCGCCTCTCCGGCGTATTTAATGCCCTCGCTGAGCCGTCGCCGAGCTCAGTCGGTGGTTGTTGATCGCCGCCAGCGTACGTGTCAAATTCGTTCGTTGCCGTCAGCCGCAAAGCCAAAACAATATAACCAAAATCGAAATTCAGTTAACAAAATATTTGTGCGTGCCGCGTTTTCATAGTTTGTGGCCAAATAAAACCGACAAATAAAAGCCCAAAACCCGCCTCTAGATGCACGTCGCGCGCCGCTGTTAGCCAAAGTAAAAGTAAAAGAGATCAGAGCTTAATTAAGCAGCTGCTGTTGTTTCGAACTGTTTGTTCTGGTTCTGTTGTGTTCTGGCACGCGATGATGATGAGCACAACGACAACACAACAACATCCCATCATGCCGCCAGCCATGCGTCCAGTGCCCGAGAGTCCCGTCTCCAGACCGCGCGCCGTCTACAGCATCGATCAGATCCTAGGCAATCAGCATCAAACCAAACGCAGCGGTAAGTTTTAGCCACAAAACAGCTATATCTAGCTATAGAGACTGAGCCAAGCCAATCGCGTTTGCCGTCGGTGATCGAAGCCAAGTCAAGTTAGTTGAGGGTTCAAAAAAGGTTCTTAAGTCAATCAATTGCATAGAACTACATAGAAAGAAAGTGCTGGTTCGAATCGCAGATTGATTTAATAGTTAAAAAGTTCTATCTTTGGCTATATATATATTATATTAAAAGATATAGCTTATACTTTAAACAATAATAGAATTTCGTTAAACGCATTACAAAACTTTTTAGACGAGTTCGAACTAGCGCTTGGTTCAAATCTCTGCGCCAAGAGCGCAATAGAAACCTAGGCCATTTAAAATTTCGTTCAAATGTTGCTTAAAGCGCAATAAAAGTCTTTGCTTTTTAAATTTTTGATCAAATGATATTAAATGCAACTTATAATATATACAATAGCAAAAAACTTGGATCAATATAATCAATTGACACCATTTTTATATGCTATAAGGAAATTTCTTGTAATATAAAGTTGCCTAAACTATTATTTCAAATGAAAATAATCGCCTTCTCTCTTTTCGAACCTCATTCTAAGACTTAAGGCTTCAATGGAAGTTCAAATAGAAGTCAATGCTTCTTTGAAAGTTCGGTCAAATATTTCCAAATGCAACTTTTCATATGAAAAGAACAACAACAATTGATTGTCTAAATTGAAATATATATTTTATATATGGAAAAAACTACTTTGATTGGTTTAGATTTCATTTCAACTGAAAATTTTCGTCTTTAATATTTACGTGAGCTCGAACCTTAAACCTGAACCTCTTAAAATCGAACCTCTCTCTAAAAGCTTGGCTGCAGATATCTTTTCTAGGTTCTAAATTGCCTTCTTCCGTCTTTTTGGGAGTTTGAACCCCGAAGCTTATATCTTTCAAGTCAAATAAAAGTTGAAAAGGCATTAAAAATAAATTAAGACAAAGTTTATTAAAATGGGAATAAATAGTTTCTGGCAGCATTCATTGGATATTCATATAATAAATAGGTATAAATGGTAATAATAATATTATTTTGAATATTATTATAAATTTATATTATTATAATTTTTGCAATTCTTCTCCCTTTCGTTCCTTTTGTCAACTGCCTGCCGCAGTATTCCAAGTATTCCTTGAACAGAAATTGCAATTAGTAGAGCAACCTTTTCAGTAGAGCAACCTTTTACACACCCAAAAATAAAAAGCCCGCAGAGAATCCTGTGGAGTCGCTTTAGAGTATCCACACTCCTGTGGAGTCGCTTTAACTGGCAGCTCTTCTTCTGCTTCTTCAACTGGAGAGGCAACGTGCTCCATGGCAAAACCACATCAAAAGGACCGCCTATCGTTGTCTGTGGATGTCTTCATCATATGCAAATGAGGACGAGGACACGAGGACACGAGGACATGACCATAGTTTTTCGGCTATCTACATAAAGCTGGCCATGTTTCACACTCAACTTCAATGGGGCGTTACGTTGTTGTGCAGCGTGTTGTGGGCGTGGCCGCGCTACGCGACAAGAGAGCAAGAGAGAGAGAGAGAGAGAGAGGAGTATTAAAAAATGGGAACACTCGAGCGCAAATCAAAACATATCACGATATTGATATCCTGACAGCAGGACGGCCGTAATGAGACGCTTGCCATCATTAGACCCGTAATTAGATTTCAGATTGACATTCATGGGCAGCAGCAGCAGGATGAGGCAGAGGAGGATGAGGCGGACGAGGCGGAGCACCCAAGGTTACAATTTGTGACAACGTGCACCGCACCGCAGGACATTTAGCCAGGATATATAGAGCTGGAAAAGCTGGCGCAATTTCATGCTCAATCGCGATGTGTCCTCGGCGCCGTAATTTGATGCCCCGCTTTCGAGGGAAAATTACCTTTTTCGCCACAACAAGCGGCGCATAAATGTTACCAAATCCAAACGATCAGGATAATAGCCGAATCCTGTGCACTACACGATGCCCCGCTGTGCGTGCTCCTGCCTCGTCCTGCCTCGTCCTGCCGCGTCATTGTGCATATTATTAATTTGAGGTTCATTAAAATTTGATTACATGTTCTGCTAGAAAAATGTTACACACACACACACGTTGTCGGGCCGTGTGAAAGGACTTGCCAGGATCTGGGCTCAAGGGGTTGTTTTCAGCTTTTTTTTTTTTTGGCAACTGTTGCCGCTAAAGAAAGGCAACTTCAAGTTAAAAATTTTCGCTGCAGCTCATAATTATTTGTTATTGATTGCCAAATCGAATTGCGTGCCACACACACACACTCACACACACTCACACACACTCACACACACACACACTCGCACACACACTCACTCGTGAGCGCACTTGAGAGCTTTAAATGGGGGTTAAAGTTGGCAAAGTTGACGGCACATTCAATCAGCGAGGATATATCAGGATATTACTACTTCAGTTGCAATTCAATGAATTTCGCTTTTTCGCAGCTGCCGCAGCGCAACTTGATTTTTATTTCACGTTTTCCATATACACTTGCCTAGGGTATTGCAATATTGGAAGCGTATATGTAACGCATGGAATTGTATATATATATTCTCTCTCTCTCTCTCTCTCTCTCTCTTTATATATATCTATTGGTAAATTGTATAAAAGCTATTTGATATTTGTTTATACAATTTTCAGTTGAATATTTGATGTACACCAAAGAGGTTTCATAAAATCAAGAGTATCAGTCGAAAATTTGATGTACATCAAAAAACTTTTATAAAATTTATTAGTCGAAGATTTGATGTACATCAAAGAGTCTTCATACAATTTATCAGTCTAAAATTTGATGTACATAACATAGCTTTTATGAACTTTATAAGACTAAAATTTGTATATGTAAATTGTAGATGTACATCAGCGAACTTTGATGTACATCGATTAGGTTTATTACAATTGATCAGTCTAATATTTTATGTACATCAAATATCATTTATCAAATTGATCAGTCGAAAACTAGATGTACATCAAATAGAATCCATAGGATTATCTGTTGAAAATTTGCTGTACATCAAGAAAAATTTAGTTTCTAAGGAACAAAAGGAATCGAATTTAGCCATATCCGTCTCTCGTCCATTTTAATGAAAACTTTAAAAGCTAGAGATTGCTCAAAAATAGTTTTATTTACTGGTAAATCCTTCACATGTAAGGGTATCAGCGCTGCGGCATTCCCTTAGCCCCTCTTCCGCCTTGTTTTGTTTTTTGTTTGGTTTTCCATTTGCTTTGCTTTTCGTACGAATTTTATTCCAAAGTCAAACACGAATCGGCAAACTTTGAACCACTCGAAATCAATTTGGCAAACTTTTGGATTTCGCTCTTGATGATTGAAGTGCACTTTAAAGTTAATTTTATTTTGAATTCTGCGATTTTTTTTTTAACAGAAACACCCAACGAGGTGCTGATAACGCACGCGCATCACATACATCACCTGCATCACGCGGGCAACATCAGCAGCAGCAACAACAACAGCAACAGCTTGTTGCAGCAGCAACATCAGCAGCAACAACAACTGCAACATCAGCAACAGCTACAACAACAACAACAACAGCAGCAGCAGCAACAACAAATGATTGGCAAGCGCGAGGACTCGCCCACAAATACGGAAAGCGGGTTGGATGTGGACAACGAGGACGAGCTCTCCTCGAGCCTCAACAATGGACACGATCTGGGCGACATGGAGCGGCCGCGCAAAGTTCGCAGGTAATCATATAAATACATATAAATATATCTATCTGTCAGAGTCCTTGAACATCCTTGTTAACAAGCCGCTTAGCAGATAAAATCGTATTTGGCCCTTTGTTGGGCCCATTAGAAAGCAACTAAACAATTTCATTGTTATCAACAACATCGACTTACCCTCTCGCTTGTCTGTGTTTTTTTTTTTATGTGTGACTTGCAGATCTCGCACTACGTTTACAACATTTCAATTGCATCAATTGGAGCGCGCCTTTGAGAAGACACAATATCCGGACGTGTTCACAAGGGAGGATCTGGCGATGCGGCTCGACCTGAGCGAAGCACGCGTTCAGGTAAATCAACCAGTTACATTTTTGTTAGATTGCCTCAATTGAGTATTTTTTTCGCTGCTGATTATGTAATTATTTACGGCTTAAGTTATTTACGGGCAGGTCAGCGCACAAAGCTAAGCGGCTTACACTGAGCGAAAAGCCAGGCGCGAAGCTGCCAAAACGATTGGCAGGCAATTTCAAGAGTTTTGCTCTTCCTCAATTTCAAGTGCATTTCGTTTTGGCATGTGCTTAACATAAGTTGAGTACTGATTTAAAAACCAATTCTTTAAGGGGTAAAAGCAAGAGAAAACGATTTGTTTTAAGCACAAAATTTTTATTACAAGCGTTTGCAGGCTTTAAATAAGTTGAATTGTTAAAGAAACCAAAACAAGAGAAAGAGATTTGTTTTAAGCTCAAAGTATTTAAAACAAGCTTTTGTAGGCTTAAAGCAAGTTGAATTCAACTAGTAAACAAGATTTGTTTTAAGCTCAAAGTATGTAAAACAAGCTTGTGTAGGCTTAAAGCAAGTTGAATTCAACTAGAAAACAAGATTTGTTTTAAGCTCAAAGTATGTAAAACAAGCTTTTGTAGGCTTAAAGCAAGTTGAATTCAACTAGTAAACAAGATTTGTTTTAAGCACAAAGTATGAAAATAAGTTGGATACTGATTTGAATATCAATTGCTGAAGATAACAAAAACTAGAAAGCAAGCCCAAAGAATTTAAAACAAGATTTTACATGCTTGAAATAAGCGCAAAATGAGCTCAATTGTATGACAAACTAGCTTCGTTTAAGTCTGACTTAAGTAAGTAAAGACTTCTACTACATCTGATAGAAAACATTAACAAAAAATTCTCAAAATAAGATATTTGTGCTTAACTTAAGAAAGTTTGAACGAGAAATTTAAAACAAAGCTTTATTTAAGCACAAAATATTTGATGAGCGGGTTAACTAAAGAAATTTTGTATTTGAACTCCAAAAAAAAGTGCTTAAATTAAAAGTTTTGAGCTTAGTTGAAGTCATTTCGAGCTGGGTTGACAACAAACTTAGGTTTTTTTTTCGCTAAGTATATTATTTGGGGTGTTTATAGAAATTGTAATTGGCCCAAAAAATCGCTAACAATCAAAGGACTTAATTTGTAAATGGTCTTTTAAACACTTAGTGCACACTTTGTAGGCAAACACACACACACACACACACACACATGGACAGGGACAGGGTCACACGCATAGTTGGGGGTTGCTGCCTTAGGGGTGGCTAAAGGACATTAGATATTGTGATTTTCCGAATGATTACATTTGGCAGGGCGAGAGCCAGAGTTGTTGGGTGTTGGTATTTTTATTAACTCTACTTTTGGGTAAACAATCAAGCACACACACACGCACACACTCGCACACACACTTGGCTACAGACAGGCAATTGGGCTACGATCCTTGTTTCGATCCTTGCGCAATTTGATTTCAGTTGAAATGCTTTCAAGCACTCGAGCTGTCAGTTGACAGATACGAGAGATATTCCCAGCAACAACAACAAAAAAGGAAAGGAATGTAAAACAACTTGACCCAAGCGCCTGGCACTCACCGAGGGATTATCACTCGTCCTCCCTTTCCTCCTTTTTAGTCCACGTTCAACGTTTCACGTTTTGTGTATCCGCTGGCAGATTAAGCGTAATTGGTCATTGATTCACATACGTTAGACGTCATGCTCTCCAGTCCCACTTCACTTCCCGCTTCAATAGTAACAGATTTAGAGCTGTTCGCTTTTTTTTATCTGTTTGTTTTTTTCTAGTATCTGATAGATACTTTGTTGCCGTGTCGCAAGGGGTTGATGAGCGGTCAATTATTTTGGGATTTGCATGAGGCATGTACAAACAGTTCACATTCCCCCCGAAAAACAAATGGGAGTTGTGCTTGACGATTTTTCGATTTATACTTTTTTTTTTAGCGGTAAAAAAAGCATATTTTGTTAAGCGCATTTTGCATGACAAATCAGTCTGTTAATGCTTTTAAGCTCTGCCAGCGAAAAAGAGTTTGAAGAGCTCAAATCTGATGCGTTATGTGAGCTATGAAGAATATTTCCATTTGCCAGACATGTTTTGACAAGATTTCATATATGGCCATATAAAAACTCAGTTTCGATAGATTATTCTAAGGGGAACTATATGAAATGTCCTCCTATACCTGACTGAGGGATGCCCCGAACCTGATTCTATATACACTATTAAATCCCAAATTTGTTTAAAAGAAATCTTAGTAGCAACAAACAAGTAAAAACATGCTTATGCTTCTTTTGCCTTAATCCCACTTTATATATGGCAAATGCAGTCTTGCTTAACTTCGGAGCTTATTGTCCGATCTTTATGAAATTCTCAGGGCATAAATATGGCATAGAAATGCGTGTAGATAGGAACGCCCAAGACTGTTATTCCATAAATACGTCTCTTATAGAGAGGCACTTGCAAGAACTTATCTAAAAAGTGCAATTTTATTCACTCTAGCTCTGATAATGCACGAGTTATGCTCCAGAAATGTTAAGATTCCTTTCTTACATTCTTTTGGACTCAACTTCATTTAGTTATTGTCGAATATTTAATTTTGTAGCTTTATCTTGGCGCTGATCGCACATGTGCGATAAATGTGGTCAGGATATCCGTGAATTCAACTTTAACGAGCAGCTCGTTGGTCGGCTTGGTTGGGCCTGAAAAGTGGCATTAGGTTGTTGGCCAAAGCCGCATTATAATTGCGCAGCTCACAATTAAATTGCGCACAAAATCACAAGGGTTGCACACACACACACATGGAAGGTGGCAAGGGAGGGGGGGGGGGAGGGGTGTGGGGCATGCACAGACACAGGACAATAATTGGCAGCAATTATTGCAAGGAAATCGTTGCTAATTTACTACTCGCTCCGCTGCACGCATTGTTGTTGCAACGAAGGATGCTGTGACGAGTGCGACTGTGTGTGTGTGTGTGTGTGTGTGTGTGTGTGTGTGTGACAGCAGCTAAATACAGGGTGTCTATAATTGCACACTCCTCTTCGAGCCGTGCACAGTTGTCAAGTGATTTCAATTTACAAACAATTAATTTTCTTAATACATGCCAAGACCAAGACGAGACAGCTCTTCCACTGTTCCGGCCCAGGTCGACGGCCGGAAGTGCCACAGTTCCCCCCTCTCCCCCTGTTTCCCTCCTTCCCTTACAGTGAATGCCAGCTACAACCCCTGCGCAAAGTGTCAAAAATGCATGGGGCCAGCCTCGGCCCCCTCCCTCTCTCTCTCACGCCTCGCACTCTCTGCCTGGCGCCAGGACAAATCACAGTTGCACACTTCCGATTGGATGCCATTGTATTTGGCAGACGCAGACTCCGACTCCGACTACGACTACGACTACGACTCCGGCCACGACTCCGATTATGACAACGACTCAGACTCCGACTCAGCTTGGCATTGGGTTTGGTTTTGAGAGACACTTAGAAAAAAAAAACAGCAGCAATTGATTTATTTTTCATGCGTTTATTTTTTAGTACCAAGTAATAACAGAAAATAGTTTTTCAAATTTATTTAAAAGTAGAAACAGAAAAACAGAAAACAGAAATGTGGCAAGTTTTTCTTTAAGGCAAAATGCTAAAAAAAAAATTTTCTTTATATCAGAATTAATTGTTTATTAATCATGAAAGTATTTATATAAAATCAGATTATTCCTATCTAAAAAGTAGAAAATAATACTTAAAAATTAGAAAAAATATTTTCTAAAAAGTGGCCACATTTTTTTATGGAAAGTAGAAAATATTTTCATAAATTGTCAGCCAAAGTGGAAAATATTTTTTAAATATTTATATTTTTAAACAATTTTTTATATATTTTAAATATGAGAAAGTTTATTTTAACTTAAAATTTTTAAGTAACAGAAATTGCTCTAAAACTCTAAGTAAATAAAAATTGTGTATTGTGGGGTGAAAATTTGGCCCTAATAATTCCCTAGATAAATTCAAGAAAAGTTGATCAATTTTACAGATTTTCCGTGAAGGAAATGGGAAAAGATGCAAATAGTATATATATATATTTTTTAATTTAATTTAATCTTATTTCAACTTTTTTAAATATGAGAAAATATCTATTAAGGAACAGAAATTGCTTTAAACTAAAAAAAAATTGTTCCACTATGTGCTTAGTTTTTTTTTTGAGTGTATGCAGGGCAATGCTAGGCATTTGATGAGCTCTTTGCGTTGGGCTTCACACCTTGTTTTGGGGCCAATTGCAAAAGACGTTGGCGAGGATTTGCATATGAAACTGTTAAACTGCAACTTTTGTCCATTTTGTGTTGCAGGTGTGGTTCCAAAATCGGCGCGCCAAATGGCGTAAACGTGAGAAGTTTATGAATCAGGACAAGGCCGGCTATCTGCTGCCCGACCAAGGTAAGCAAATTACCAAATTGCGTGTGCAACATAATTAGAAATGTGTCGACGCCCAAATCTAATGCTCTCCCCCCCCTTTCGCTTTCTCTCCTTCCCCGCAGGTCTGCCGGAGTTTCCGCTGGGCATACCGCTGCCGCCGCACGGCCTGCCCGGGCATCCGGGCGGTCTGCCCGCCGAGTTTTGGCCGCCGCACTTTGCGCTGCATCAGCACTTCAATCCGGGCCTGCTGCCGCAGCAGCTGATGCCGCCCCACTACAAGCTGCCCAACTTCCATACGCTGCTCTCCCAGTATATGGGCCTCAGCAATTTGAACGGCATCTTTGGCGCCGGCGCCGCCGCAGCGGCTGCGGCTGCCGCCTCCGCCGGCTACCCGCAGAATCTGTCGCTGCATCCGTCGTCGTCGGCGCAGGTGAGTCCGCCGTGCAGCAACAGCAGTCCGCGCGAGAGCCCCAACTCGCTGGCGCCCCACCAGCTGGCGCATGGCGCCACCACGCTCATCTCTGGCGACCTGACGCTCACCTCGACGGCGGCGCAGTCGCCGCGCAGCGCCAACGGCGGCAGCAGCAACGCCTCCACGCCCGTCTCCGTGGTAACCAAGAGCGAAGACTGAACTGAACCAGCGGCAGAGAATTAAACCGGCTCGACGCTCGAATTCGCAAACATGAATTCCCCCCCTTGTGGTGATATAATGGACGGATTGTGCACATGTATATATATATATATAGCATAGCCAATAAGTGAATAAGGAAATGGAACTTTCTGTTTGTGTTGCAAATAAGTATTTCCACAAATATTGCCTACTTATAAGAAACTAATCTTTAATTAACTGCTGCAAGTGTCATAGAAACTAGTTAATACGAATGTGTAAATTAAAAATAATCTTAAGAAAACAAATAAATCAAACTCAAGAAAACTGCGTTTAAACTAATTCAAATGAAGATAAGTTAGGGCTAGTTCAAAATATAGAAGATATATAGATATATAGAATATAAAGAAGATTTATCTGTGGAATTTCGAAGTCTTAACAGTTAGAGTTAGGGTTAAGGAGTTGTGATATTCTATTGAGATAAATTGGAAAGAATCATTATATTATCTCAGATTAAATACCATTATAGTGGTATTTAATAGATACTATATACAATAGAGTTAGGGATAAGGTATAGATCTATAATGAGAAAATCAGAAAGAAAAGTTGCCTCAGATCAAATATCTATAAAAAAAGTATGGGGCATATATTTTGCGAATCTAACAGTACTTCCCATAGATTAAAAGCATCGATATTATATGGTATATTGACGATATATAGGTATATTTGTAGAGTCGGAATATATAGATATAATAATTTGTGGTACTTAAGTATAGAGTTGGGGATAAGGAATAGATCTATATGGAGAAAAAAAGGAAAGGAAATCGAACTTGGAGATTACATACCCTTCCCAGATACCAAATTGGTATAAAGATAAAGAAGTTATATACGTAGATATCTCTATGAATCAGTCAGTCAGTCAGTAAGGACAATACAGTTGTATATATAGAGATAAGTTATGCATTTTTGGAGCCATATATATATCCTTTATACAACTCAAATAATTTCTTGGCAATAGTTCCTAAGAAGAACAAATTATGGACTCAATTTTTTTACTTCCCACGGCAGCTATAAGAGAGGGTAGTGCGTTCCGACCTACTCCGATATATATGTGCAGCCTATAAAAATCAATAGATCTATGCCAGGTTTCAATGAGATCGCTTGAAACTCAGAGACTAGCATGGATAGAAACAGATCGACGGACCTGGCTATCTAGCCCAGGCTGTTGATACTAATTAAGAAGATATACTTTACTCTACGTTTCTAGGCTAAAACTAGGGCTTAACTAGAGATATATTTTTTTGCAGTGTATATTTTGTGCAGTCTTTCTCTTTAGAGTTCTCTTGAATACTTGTTTGACTGATTTCGGTTCATTGCCCTCTCAAGATCTGCGAACATTTGCGCAATCGAAGCGCAAAATTAACAATTCATCAAAGTAACACATAATCTGGATGCCTTTTATAAATAGTTGTATACAAGCTGTCGACCTTTTTTGATGCTCAGCAAGTCAAGGGAACTGATCTTGCCGAGCCGAGGCCGAAGCTGGCCGATAAATGGAATGGAATGTAACAACCCCGACAATGCATCAGTGCGTCCCGCAGCTCGGCGCATTCAAGAAGAAGCAGTAGTTGAAATAAAATAATAATCTTGATATTATGTCAAATTGCGAGCGGAAAGAGAATGTTGCGCACATGTCCAGAGAAGACGAGTCGCATCGAAGTCGAAGTCGAATCCGAAGAATGCCTGAAATCGCATTGTGAGCCGCAGACAGCGCAGACAGGAAACGGCAGCCGCTCGCGAAGGATGTGAGCCAAAGGATTTGCACAAATTTCAAGTGCGGCTGCAAACCAATTGAACCTAAACGACGTACCCCGAACCTCGGCTCACCTCTCTTTTGTGTGCCCGGGCCCGGCCGCATGCGGAGCTAAATGCTGTATTGATATCTCGTAATTTGTGCCATAATTACTTTTTAATAATTCTGTGGCGCCACAGGACGTCGCATTGTGTGTGCAACGGACTTAAATTTAATAAAATCGCCGTCAAGTTTTCTGCTGCTGCTGCTGCTGTTGCTGCTGCTTTTGGGTTGCAATTTGATTACACTTACCATTCTGTGGGGTCAAAATTAAATTCCCTGCACAAATAATATAACAGCAGCATCATCATAATCATCATCATCATTGTCGTAATGAGCGAAATGCGCGACTTAACGGATTTGTCACTGACAAATGCGGCAAGTCGAGGACCAGCCCACAAAGGCGGCCCAGTCAGCGTTGTCAAAGGAGCTTTCATAAAACTCATATGCAAATGCCTTTTGTGGGCGCGGGAGCGCAAAAGACAGCCAACCTGCAACTCGTTATACTCTGTCTGGCCAGGCTGTTATGCCATTTAAATATGACTTTATCTCAGAAAAGGAAGCATATCTTATCAGACATAAGCATTTGAATAACATTCGTTTAAGTACCTGGAGAGTCTAAAAGACAAATAAGTATAAAACAACATTCATTATCATTATCATTTTTATTAGCAAAATAATTTGCAATTCCATTGGCATTAGCAATAGCATTATCATTATCATTAGAGCTATCATCAATCACTATCATTAGCATTAGCATTAGCTATTCATTGGCATTAGCTTAAGTCTTAGATGTAGCATAATCATTGACATTACTATTAGCATTAGCATTGACATATGCATTGGCATTTGCATCATCATTCGAATTATCGATAGTATTATCATTAGCAATAGCATTGGCATTCGCAATAACATTAGAATTGGCATTTGCATTAGCATTATTATTATCATCATTAAGCATTACCATTAACATCAGCATTCGCATTATCATTATCATTAGCATTAGCATTAGCATTAGCATTAGCATTAGCATTAGCATTAGCATTAGCATTAGCATTAGCATTAGCATGAGCATGAGCATGAGCATTAGCATTAGCATTAGCATAACCATTAGCATTAGCATTAGCATTAGCATTAGCATTAGCATTAGCATTAGCATTAGCATTAGCATTAGCATTAGCATTAGCATTAGCATTACCATTAGCATTAGCATTAGCATTAGCATTAGCATTAGCATTAATCATTATCATTATCATTATCAATGAAAGAAGCGTATTCAACTGTCGCTATTGCCATGTCACATTTTATCTTGTTTCTATCAACGAAAATTCAATAAGTTGAAGTAGATCTTTTATTTGTGCAAGTGTTTGGCCAAGCTGGGGAGCGGGCCCCGTCCAAATGTCCTTGTGTTCGTGTGTGTGTGTGTGTGTGTGTGTGTGCAAGGAATTTCATTCAGTGTGCAAATGCAGCGCGGTACTCTGCGGGCTATAAATATATGAAATTTATCAAGTGGCCTTTTGAGTTTCGTATTTTTTTTTGGCTCTATGAAATTGAGTGTCGAGTGTCGCCTCCGTCTCGCTCCTGCTTTTGTGTGTGTGTGTGTGTGTGTGTGTGCTGTATTTGCATTCAGCTCAGCAGCCAGCAGCCAGTTTCACCTTGTAAATGTATCTCAGTTTCGGTATGTGTGTGAGTGTGTGTGTGTGAGTGTGTGTTTGTATCAAACATAATCAAGCACATTGCCATTTTGCTTGCAGTTTTATGAACCTCTTCAGAGGCCGAACAATGAAATGAAAATCAATTTTGGGACGACACTTGAGCTCGAGCGCATTAAAATGGCAACAGTTATACTTGCAGTTACCTAGAGAGGAGGGAGGGGGGAGGTGGGGGCAGAGAAGGGGGCGGGACAGGGCAGGCGTTGTGGGACATACACTTGAAAGGCTGCCCACATTTTGACGAGCTGGCCGTGTAATGAGCGCAACTGTTGACGGCAACCGAGAGAGAGAGAGAGAGAGATGGAGAGAGAGGGGAAGAGAGAGGGAGGATGAGAGAGTGGAAAACTGAATACAACGGTAATTAAACAAGTTAAATCCGCTCAACAGATGCTCAAGTCAGATTTCATTTCATTTCAGTCCGCTTGTCGTCCTGCACAACCTCCAGCCTGTGTTCAACACATCATCATCATCATCATCATTGTCATTATCATTATCATTATCATTAGCAGCAGCATCGTCATCAGGCGCATCATTTGTGGCGCACTTAAAAAATTATTTAATTCATCAAAAAGTTGTCAGCGCAAAAGTAATTATGCCGCGCTTGTCTCTTGGCCCATTGTTGTGGGCGCGGCTGAAGGAGGCGCGCCTAATGAGCGCCATTTTGTTTACGGCTGCCATAGCGCCAGGATAATTATGGTAATTTGCGACGACTTGAGACGCTGCCGCTGCCTACGCAGAGTATCGCATGACACGACGACGACGACGACGATCGCGAAGCGAGGATCACCGCAACAGTTTCCGACAGGATATAGTATGCGTGCCCGTATACCCTGTAAGCATGTTGGCGACAGTCGCAATCCGATACCCGATACTTTTTACTTGTAACATTTCAAAGCGAGCCGCAAGGATCTGATCCTTGGCGGCGTTGAAAGTGAAGTGAAGTTTTCCTTTTTGTGCTGACTTTCAATGAGCTAAGCTGCGCCTTATTTATCGCTCGCAGCAGCTGAGCAGACTGATCCTGCCCGTTCGTCCTTAAGTGTCCTTGTGATTAAAGAATGAGCAGCGGCAGCCGAGTTGCTTTTGTTTATCGTTTTGCCAAAATGGTTTCATGCCTGATTTGTCAAACGATTTGTTATTTATCTGTGTTCTGGCCAACAGTACTTGGCAGGATCTCAGGTAGACCTGGTCCAGTCTGTACAGCTGCCTCTCCTCCTTCTGCTCCTGCTGCTGCTGCTGGGCAATTGTGCAGTTAATTGTGTCCTCATTAGCCAATGGTCGCCTCGCATCTCCACGCACATAATTGACGACATTTTATTTATTTTCTTACCTTTCTTTTGTTCGCAGGGCAGTTCTTTCTAAAGGTTCTGCTTTAAGGCTTCAGCTTGGCTGGTTTGTGCATTTTGATATTGATACTCTTGTAATGGATATAGGCAAAGATAAAGATAAAGATTCTTTACGAGTTGCCATGAAACATGATTTTTTTGCGGGTGGATTTAAAATTAAATAAAAGTAACTTGTAATGGATTCAGTCTATCAAATGATATATTTTATATTTAAATTTAATTAAATTAAATACATTTTTTTTTTATTATTTTATATATTTAATATTTCAAAGAGAGAGATTTGAGATGAGATTTAAATA